GAAAAAGACACCGAGTGTTCAGAGGAAAATACTTATATGTTGTCAGTAAAGGAACACTGCTACTTCCTGAACTGATTTCAGGAGCTAATACTGTAGTCTGTCAACATGTGGTAGCTGACATGTAAAAATTCTGTTTTGGAAAATCCATCATGTCACCCACACTGAAATCACTAGACCCCAATAACCATGGTGAAATTGCAGGACACAATTGAAAGAAATGTTAAGTACATTCTATGCAGAAAAGCTAAATTACTGAAAACCGTAATTGCTTCAGCCTCCATAGCAACTAAGGTATAAAACATTTCGTGTTATTTATTTCTATTGTTCAGGCAAAATCACTAATTGGTCCTGTTGTGGAGAGCTATAGTCGCCTTGGAAGGAAATTTGTCTCCTTATAGTTCAAGTTATTTTTCTCTATTTTTTTTTATTTTATTTTTTGTTGTTGTTTCCTAAGAAAAGCATGAATGGATTTTCCATGGATGGCTAAATGAATTCATCACTTATTAGCTTTAGTTTCCCACATAGCTAAGTAAACTCCCACATAGCTTTTGGAGTTAGCAAATCAAAGAAAGTGGGAAGAAAGTACTTGAAACCTTGATCAGAAGGCATCAGTCTTATAACATGGAAGATACTTGGTCACCTACACTCCTTGCCCTCAGTCTTACTTTCTAGGCTGTTTAGGCTTTCTTGCAATGATTGGCAAATAAAGAACCTTAAGGTATGCGTTCCCATGAAGAAACAGTTTCATGTCTTCAGTCTTTGCAGTGGCGATGTGCTCCTGAAGAAGCCTTTCTCCTGTTCAGGAAGAAGCAGAGGGAATTGGATGGTTTGAGAGGCTGGATGTGCTTTCACAGTCGATATGGTCATCATCTAGCATCAAAGTTTCAAGCTGAACCCAGTGCCACTAGTTGTTACCATAGGACTGAGGACTGCTGTCTTCTTGTCCTGCTTTGTGAACTGTTACCTAATAGTTTGTTTGATGAGACTGCTGTAGAGAGGATATGGCCTTTGCTTTTTTAATCCATTATCTATTCCTTTCTCTTCTGCTTTCCTCAGCCTGGTTTAGGGCTCTCTCAGGGTAGCTGGGAATCTCAGTGGTATAAGGAATTCCTGGAAATCTAAGCTTGTTAGCATCATTAGCTGAATGCTAAGTAACTTGATTATTAGAGTTTTTAAACAAAGCTTTACTTGCTAGTTTGGGTATGTGACCCCATAGGGATCTTGACAGAAAACTTTGTAAATCTGTGTCCTGATGGTCCTGAAGGTATACACATTGTAAAAGGGAGACTGGAAATTTAAGAATTCTTATTGTCGGGGAGAAAGGAGGACCTTTTTTTCATTTTTTTTTTCTTTTCCAGTAAAAGGAATGTTTTATTAACAAAGAGTCTCAAATTTATCTTATTTGTAAGTTCTGCTTCATTTCTGGTTAAAGAGGATTGTGGATCTTACCAAACCAGATGCTTTGTACAAACAAAATGTTTGCACAAATTCACATTTCCTGGCAGGTCAAACTCTTAGAGGCTCAGTGGTTCCTTGCCTGACATCCTGTATATTTTAACTGTATACTATACTATGTTTTTCAAAGTAATTTATCTCTGCATGGAGAGGTCAAAGCACCGTTTATATCTGTTTAGTACTGTTGATCTTTATTTGCTTGCCAGCAAGCACGTTTGATTAATGTTTTAGTTCAAGATTTTATGTTTCATTTGTTATTGTGTTATCCCTGTTACCACTTTCCTCTTCATGTACTTGGCTTTAGTTCACTCACTGCATGACATACCTAGGAGTACTAAAATGAAGAACAGTAAAATGCAAAAGAATGCATTTAAATTAAACTCTACTAAGAAAGACAATATAAATTAACACTTACGGAACTTAAGAAACTTGTGTGAAATACTGAACATCTTGAAATGAAACATTTACCTGAACACATGAACAGATAAGACCATAGAGCTTAAGTATGCATTGATGGCGTTTTGCCTTAGTATCTGTATAACAATCATCTATGTAAAATGAAAAAAATGCTTCTATAAAAGCTGTAAATATGATTATTAATTAATGGATGTAGGAAGGCTGTGTTTCCTTTTTTGGATCTGAGATACCTCCTGTGAAGTAGAACATAGTAGAACACACAAAAAAGGAAACCTCTATTAGATTCCTTTAGCAGAGCCTTTTTTTCCGCATTGTGTTTGTGCCTGTTCCTACAACATGTACGTGGAGATGATATAGAGGACCTGGCTGCAGCTCTCCAAGGACCAGGGGCTCGTTCTCAGAAGACTGCCCATTTCAACATTACTGCTCCAGGGTTCAACTTGGTAAATTGGTTCTATTAGATTTCCTCCCAGTCTTTTATTAAAGGCAAGTTTTGCATTTGGAGATTTCCGAGGTAATAGCATTGCCTTATATCCTCCATGGTAGTACTGTGGGTTTACACACAGGCTACATTTTTCTTCCCTATGGAATGCTGAACCCATGCCAAATTTTTCCATTGCCCTTGTGTCTTCAATCAGATCATGTACCTTTTCTCCCAAAACTTCTCTGTGCAGCAGCCTGGGTGTCCAGTAAAGGGGAAAGTATACCCTGTCTCAGAGGTGAGACTTTAGCTCTAAGGAAGGAGAAGGGAAAGACAAATGGGAGGAAGATATTTGTTTTCACTGCCCACGTACTACGAACAAGACATTCCACATGAATAGATGGATCAGCTCAGATCCCACACCAGTTATTATCTTGCTAGCGATAACAATTCAAATGGTAGGCTATTAATCATAAATATTTTCATTAAATAAATTAAATACCTGGCATGATTTCTAACAGTACAGCATTCAGCAATGTTAACTTCTACAGCTAATGAGGATAATGTAATTAATAATGCAAGAATTAATGCCAAATGAAATTGTTGTAGAAATTTTTAAATATGTTAGATCAACCATGTAAATATAAAACCATTATCAATAAAACCTAATCAATTGTCAAGAAGATGGGGGGAGGGAGGAAATCTATTTGAAAATATAAGACTGTGTTCAATATAATCTAATCAACTGTCAAAAATGAAACACTTCTAATTTGATCAAAAAGTGTCTGATGACCTAAGTGAATTTTCTCTTGTTGTAACTAAGAGGAATGAGGCTCCCAAGACAGGATAAAAGCTTTCTGCCTGGTCACTTTTACCTTTTGTATTTATTGATCTGTTTTTTTTTTTTTTTTTTGGTACTGAGGTTGTCTCACAGATGTTTGAGGGATGATGTACCTTACTCTTAGACGTCATTATCCACCTTAATGTTACTTTTTTAATCATAATCCACATGCTCCAATTAGTTTTTGTTCAATTAGTGTTTCTAAATATGATTCTTCTACCTTATCTTTATGTTTTATTCTAACTTGAAAAGATGAAGAGCGCAGGAATCTCCTCTGCTTCAGATTTTATAAAGACAAGGCAACAGCCAAGGAGGAAGTTGAACAGCTAGTATTGTTACTCAGACAACCTTCCTTGAACTCTTAATGCCAATGTCTGTCACCAGGAGAGGGTTGGGTGCAGTAACAGCATTCACTGGCACTGAAGTTGAGATAAAATAACGTACTCAAATTAGTTTACAGAGATACGTGTGTTAATTGTATCTCTGATTTCTCAGAAGTGCTATTTGGACTTTCTTCCAAATGTTTCAGTCAATTTATTCTTAACTTTAGAAGTGTTAAGTGTTATGCTCAGGTAGTGCTCTTATGTCGTTAGCTTCATTTATTTTGCACCTTTTTTTTTCTGTGTCCAGGAATGATGCTCTAATGTTTATGTTACAGAAGAAAGAAGTTGACTATCATTGGATGAATATACTTGTCCTACACATACTACTATTCCAAGCTACTTAGTCTTTTTGTTTTCCCTGTAATTTTTTTCCCTCCCTCTCCCTTTCCCCTCCAGCTACGTTAGTCTTCTTTCTTAGCATTTTTTCCATTACTCTGTTGGTAGCTTCTTGTCTGAATTTCTCCTTTGCTATTTTCATAATGTGACCGTTGTAAATAACACCATTGCCAGACACATAAAGAGATTCCTCTTACATCTAAAATTACCTTACAATCCTAAACCTGTCATTTGTGCAACCTCTATAATCAATAAAGAATGATAAATATCACAAGAAGGCAATTTACCACATTTTAAAATTATGTTGAAAATAGAGGGATTCATTGCTGTCTGGTTCATCTGTCTCTTTTGGCTGATTAAAGAGAGAACCCTAAATAACTACTATCTCAGATGAGGTATCTGACTTTCAGTTTGCTAAAATTAAAAGTATACTACCTGTTGTGGAGCGAGTAGTGCTGGTAATGCATTACCTTTGTAATGTCTATTCTACAGAGTTCGAAACTACATAAAACTGGAGTGACACCTACAATTTAATCTTCCTTCCTGAGTGGATTCTTGAGCAGTACCAACTGTTATATTTGATTTTATTTTTCAATGATCTTTTCAACAGTGTTCAGACAGATTATAAAAATCAACCCATGATATGTCACTAGAATAATTAATTTCATTTTTGAGTTGCGCAGATAGAAGTGATATAGTATTTTTGACAATCTCACATAGTACCATACAATTGCATAATTTATTATAAACCCTGGTGCCTAAATCCAGTCCTAAAATCACAGGAACTAAGTCTACTTAGTGCTACTTACTTATAGCAGACAACTAAGTCTACATGTTGATGGTGCCTGCTATTACACTGGTTATTACTGGGACAGAAATATACCTGCTCAGACTGTGCGGATACATCTTGATCATAAGCAGTGGGTAATATTTGATTAGTATTGCTGTACAGAAATATTTGGAATTATAAAGTTTGGAGTGTATATTGTGAATACTTATCCAAATATTTATTATGAACAAATATTATATGAACCAATTCAGAGCAAAATAATATATAAGAAAAAACATGTTTATCAGCTATAATTATTCCATTAGTAAAACCGGTATTTATACTTCTCATATTTGTCTTTCTCTTAACAGCGTTGTAACTCATCACTGAATCAACAATTTGGGAACAGTTCATAGCATCAAAAGCTTCCTTCATGTAGACCGATGCCATCTCTGAAGTCTCCAAGCACTGTGAACTGAAACCACGAAACCATATGGAATTTATATCCCCCGGGTTGGAAGGCATGCTGTTCTGATATTTAATGAGGAGCCTTACTGCCATTATGACGAACCAGGAGAAGTGGGTTAACCTTAGTCCTGGAGAATTCTCTCAGCTTCAGAAATATGCGGAATGTAAGTACTTACTGTGCGAAATATGTGATTTCACTGCTAATTCATAGTCAAGAACATTTTGAACTGTGTTTTAAAAGGTGAAAGTGGAGCTATAAGATATTTAACTTTATATATTACTGTTATTATACATTGCATATTATTACTCATATTATTCATTGCTAAATGTCTGCTAAGATTTTTCTTCCCTGATCAGTAATTATTCACTATACAGCTTAGACTGGCTGTGGATTAGTAGAATATGATTATTTGGAAAGCATAAGGCTTTTTTGCTGTACTTTCTTAAATTCACTATAACACTTTATAGGCCTTATTTCAGAGCGGGCAGGAGGGGATTACCATTAAAAAAAAAACAGTTTCAGTCCTGCTGGAAACAATTCCAGAAGAAACATATCTAGCTGCAGAATCTGAAGGAGTTGTTCTCAGGTGGAAGACCAGGAAATAAAAATCTCCCTATTCAAAAGGCAAGCTGAAGATCCAGTTCTTTAGTTATTGCTCAGGCAAACCTTCCTTTAACTTGCCTGAATAAACAGAATAGAATTGCATGCTTAGAGGACAGATAGGAAGTTAGATTTAGGAGACATTTTATAAAGCTGGATAGGAGTTGAGCCAGTATAGTGCATGAACATTTGTGAACTTTTCCTGTTTGAAAATGTATTTTTAAAAAACATCAGAGAAAATCTTGTGAATGACTTGTTAGTAAAGCTAAGGTAAAATGCAGAAAATGACTCTGCTTTTTTGTTTTGCCTATGAAATCTCAATACATACACATTTTTTTGTATTTCAATAGAGTCATCTAACAGAATAATCATGAAATGGTGATTGAAATTAATTTTAATCATATTCCAGTGGAAGGTATTATTGTGTTTCATACATTTTTCATTATATCAAATTAACTATGAGTTTTACTTTATATTCTGCAATATCATTGAGAAAAACAAATGGTCAACTAAAAATATTTATCTGATGCTTTCTGGAAAGGATATATTTGAGTTTTTACAAGTTTATAAAACTGTTCTGTGGTTGAAAATACACTATGTATTAAGAAAGAATTCTCCTTGAATCTATATTACGATCTTCTCTCTACAGGGATGATTTTTTTTTCCCTATATTGCTTTAAATCTCAATAATACAGCCAAGCAGGGAGCTATTTCATTTCCCTTTAATAGTGGAATATAAGACCTGTTGAATAATTAATCGGTTATGTTCTGTTTCTTAAAGATCTGTCCTGAGTCTATGAAATGAACGTGTCCACATTTTTTTTGGCATTTGTCTTTTTTCTGTCTAACATATGAAAATATTAAATGCAGGGAAATCAGATGCGATTTTGTGGGCTTTCATAAAGTGTGAAAGGGATATTTCTTTGCTATTTCCTTGCCTTCACAGAACATGTCAATGGAAAATTTTACTCTTCATAAGTTTGACATGAATAAGTTTTGTATAGTAAAAGATTTAGCAGCTTTAGAGAGCGTATTTACTTCTGCCTTTGAAGAGGTTTCAAAATGGTTCTTTGTTAATTTTTTCGATATCAAAGATTGATGACTTCTAATATAGAGCTGTAACAGTTATGTTATGTTTTTTCTATATATTGTTCTAATCTAAGTCTTCAGTGTACCATTAGCAAAAGTATGTCTACGGCTTTATGAAAAAGGCTTTTGTTATGTTCTTCCTTTTTCTACTCTCATATCTTCCTCCAACATACTTGCACAGACCATAAGTCAGAACTATTCCTTTAACAGAATAAATATTCATATTAGTATAAAGCATTTTGTGAAATTGGTTGGATTTGCTTATGTTCAGATTTGTGTGGGTATGTAAAGGAAAAAAATCAGGTTTGTGTGTATACATAAAGGAAAGACATAATGTCTCCACATTGTGTTTATTTAACTCTTTGCTGCTTGTGTGTAAAAGGATATTAGTTGCACCAGGATGTGAAATGTGATGTTTCTTTGTATCAGCATTTGAAATTCTGAGGCAATTAGAAAAAAAAAATCATTAATGGTTTATAAGGCTTAATATTCCAAGGGCATATAACCCAGATATGGACCTTACTTTAAATGTGTGATGTATAAACTTTTGTTAAAAATATTATATTTTTAATTGGATCCAACATTTTAGAATGCATTACATTTTATCTAACATGCAGAGATATGAAATATTATGAGAGTAATGCCTTTATTCATTACTCTATAGTAATTACATGGAATTTTATACAGTTTGAGTATATAATTTGTTTGATACTCTACATTCCTTGCTGGACATTGCAAGATCCTAGGAAACTGTGGCTGGCCTGACTATGTTTGCTAAAAAGCAAACAACAAAACAAAACAAGAAAGCTAAAAAGCATGTTCTTCTCCACGACGTGACTTGACACACCACTGGATCTTCTCTCGTGGTACAGTCCTGCACCCAGGACTGTGATACGCCTCTGTATGCAGAGTATCAGCTGTCCATTGTGCTCCCTTGTCAGTAATGGCTATTTCTTGTTGCAGATGGTGAAACAAAATTGTGGTGGGCTTTTTGCAGTGGCATTTTACATTATAGCATTAATATTCTGCAACAGTATTAAAAGGAATGAAAAGACCAGGAGAAATTTCTGTTCTAGGAAACAGGATATCTGAGAGCCTCTGATGGGTCTCGGAGACTCTTTAACTCCCACAGAAAGGAGAAACTTTCTGGGCTGTAGAAGGTAACACTCAAGGGATGTTTGATTTTGTGACAAATGCCTATCAACAACTGTCAGTTATGACCCCCAGCTCGGCCTTGTGGCTGGCATGGAAGGTCCTGATTGCTAACTATGTGAAGGAGTTTGGTTTCATCAGTGTTCTGGAATGCATTAGGGAAACTTTGACAAAGTGATTCATTTTCCACCTACCTGCTTTTTACTGGTGACTATCATTTCTTCTGCCTTTCATCTGCCTGTAAGTTGATGTATGCATACTGTACTTGATAAATCCTACCTAAATGACAACTTGATTTTAACTTTGGATTTTTTTTTTAACAGATGCAGTTTTTGAATTAAAAACATATAGTAGTCATACTTCCTATTTTATTCCCATTTGTTTTGTTTATTTTGGACCTGATTCAAAGGCTAGAATTCCCCTAAAACCTGTTTTCCTGGGGTGCTAGTGACTTTGCATCATATCCTTAGTCATCTACTCAATATGATCGCTGGAATCAGAATGATTTTTGTACAACAAACAAAAGTTTGTTCTGGAATTGTTTTTGTAAGAATTACAAAATTCAAATGTATTATACGAACTTAAAAAAACATAAAGAAACATAATGGTTATTCAGAACATCTGCTATTGTTGATGATACTAAGCAGAGACGTGTAACAGAGATGGCATGTGTGGAGATGTCTTGAGCTAACCAGTAGGATGCTTTAGGCACAGGGTGTATTTCAATTTCTGCTTCTCTTTGGAATCTAAGTATGTTTGGTTAGGAAAAATTTCTCACTTTCAGGAGAGAAACTAGCGTTCTGCATTGTATGTGTTTATATATCTAGAAAGTATTCTCTTTAAAATGGTTTTGCTTGCCATAGCAGCTTGGCGGTCAGAAAACATCGCTGCGGAGTTCCCCACCTTGTACTGAATCCTTTCAACCTGGCCAGATACCGAGGGCGATTCTCTTTCGCTTGTGTGGCATCCCCTTACAAACACACACAGGCACACACAGGCGCACACACACATACACACACACACACATACCATCTTACTGGTCTAATAACCATAGCTTTGCTTCACCTTGTGAGATGTGGTAACCCAGACTATCCTGTTGTGAGACAGGGCCCACCTGTAGGAAGTGAAGGATTTGCATTTGAGTACTTCAAGCCCAAGCTTCTGTTTGAACCCAGCCTTCAACCTAGCCACTACCAGAGGGCAAGCCCATCTCACATTCACTGATTTTATGAAGATGACTGTTGCTATCATACTTGGTGCTGTAATCAGCCACATCTGCAAGTATTAAGTTTCGTAAGAATAGGGAAGGAATGGATCTCTCTGGTTCAAAGGCAGAATTTAAGTTCCTCCATCTTATCTGTAGACTGTAGTAAGAGCTTCAGAGAAACCTAGATGACTTGTCCTTTGGTTTCCCTTGTGCATCAGTTGGCTTTAGTCAGGTAAGTAATTTTCAGATTGTACTGAGATACAGGCTGCACCGATAGTAAGTTTAAAGTACTTCCAGAGCTTAGGCTGTAGGTGCTGAACTGCTAATAGGATGAGGACATTATAGATTAAGCTGTCCTGGACTTGGAGGTCTGAATTCGACTCAAATTCCCTCCAGTTACCAAAATAGGTGCATGAATCTTACACAATAAAGTTCTGTTAAACTCTATGACTCACTTGGATTCTAACACTTGGACAGGGTTTCTACTTTCTAACTAAAACAGACTTTGTTACAGTTCTGCATAGTTCTACTTTTAACTCAAATTCTGTGAGTTTGATAATAGTGTGTCTGTTCTTGCAAGCATAGTTAAATAAACCAGGCTAGCTCTACATGCTGACACTCTGCTTTGCATCCGTTTGAGAAGTCCCTACCGCATCTTGTTTAGCTGTCCTATTTGTCACATATTTATAGTATTTATAGTAACAGGTATTTATAGTATTATTCAATTTTTTGACTGGTAAAAAAATAATATTACATTGTCTGAATTTACAGTATAATTTCTGAAACACATAATACCTTTTTCCAGTTTCAATAAACTAAAGGGCAATGGAGATACAAATCTCCTTTGGGTTTTCTACAACTTGTTCCTAATCACAAAACATATTCCTCAGAGTGACACTTATCACTTAACAGTGAGCGTCTTCCAGTAATTTAATACTTTTGTAGAAAGTTCTGATTCTCTGTGATTATAATTAAAATGGTATAAATATAATATTGCATTAAAAGTCCATATTTATAATTTCATTTTAATGAAATATTTTTCAGCTCAATTTGAGGCTACTTAATATTTAAGTTTTCAGAAATTTTTTCATCTGCATGACACCATGCTTAAATAA